ACTGCATTTCACAGTATAAAGGTAAATTCACTTGTAGTCTTGTCTGTGCAGATTAGTTCTTTACTGTTTGTGGTATAGAAGAAGGACAGGGGCAGGGGAAGCAGCCCTCTAGGAGGATATCAGGGCCCAGAAAGCCCCATTATGACACCAAGATGAGTAGGGATATAATGGGGTGCATGACTGGCTCTCTGCCTCCTTTCCTCAAACAGAAAGCTAACGGGGATGGAAACAGGCAACAGGCAGCCCCATCTGGAGACCAGGAGAACTGGAAATTGAGACTACACATCCCCAGATTCTCCTGGCAGTTTTTGCCCAGATTGGGCCAGCAAAAGAAGCTGTATGTAAAGTAGGATATTCCTGGAATTCCTACTACCGCTGTCCTGGCCTGCCACAGGACCTAAAATCATCCCTTCCCTGTTTAAACTTGAGCCACAAGGTGGCGCCAAACCACAGCTAGCACCCATTTGACTCTCCCAGGAACCACTGAAACCACCCACTCTTATTAGTCTTGCCCTAATGTGACTCTGCATTTTATGGCTTGGGCTCCACCGGCTGCACCAGGTCAGGGCCTTATATGTTATTGGTTCCATCAGTTAGCCTCAGCTCCCAGGCACCCAGGCCACATGTTACTTCATCCTTGTTCCCTGATAGGCAGTACCTCGCAGGTGGGCTGCTGCTTACTGAATAGTTGTTGAGGTGAACTCAGATATATGAAGGAATTTATGGTAGAGGTAAGAAGAGTATATCTTAGCTAGTCTACGCATGTCTCTGGCAACGTCATTTGTATGTGACAGGCTCATGGCAGTGTTTGGGAGACTTGGCAAGTCTCTGAGCTTTTTGTGGTAAATCCGGCATTTGAAAAACTCTGAAAGAGAATCCACAAATGAATCCACAGCGTTTTATCTCATAATCTAGAATTGTAGCCAAATTTTGGCCAGCTTGTAGGTGCCAGTATTTTTATTGTGTCCACATGCTGCCTAGTCTTAATTGTTCAAAGAAGTCCTAGGTTTCTGGATGTCCTAGGTTGGAGTGGCAGTGAAGCTCAGCTTTGGCTAAGGACATGTTGCTCTTTCAATGTCAAGACTGACTAAGTTCTCTTTATTAGGTGCTTTGGAAATCATATATTGATTTTGAAATTGAGCAGGAAGAAACTGAGAGAACACGAAATCTTTACCGACGATTGCTTCAGCGAACACAGCATGTCAAGGTATCCTGCACTGCACACTAGATTATCTTTGATTTTGCTTAATCAGCAGTCCTGAAGGAACTACTTTTCTGTATTTTAAGTGTTTTGTTTTTGTTTTTAATGACTTCCTTGCTTTTAGAAGGGAGCCCATGAGTCCCAAGAGGACTTGGCAATATAAACCTTATATACCAAGTCAGTATTTATAGTGCATGGGAGTAACCCCAGTATCACAGGATTTAATAAAAAGTGCAGCTCTTTTCAGGATTTTAAAACTCAAACACCTTCAAATACAGACTGCTTCAGTATTATTGAAGCATATAAGTGTTCTTTGGAATACTACATATGTACACATTAGTATGTTCAGATATCATTAACTAGAAATTTGTTATTATGTGAATGTTTTCTGGGTGACATGGTTTAATTTGCTTCTATAATAATTTTTCATAAGGTATGGATCAGCTTTGCGCAGTTTGAGCTGTCTTCAGGGAAAGAAGGAAGTTTGGCTAAATGCAGACAAATTTATGAAGAGGCTAACAAAACCATGAGAAACTGCGAAGAAAAGGAAGAGAGACTTATGTTGCTGGAATCGTGGCGAAGCTTTGAAGATGAATTTGGAACAGTGTCAGATAAGGAGAGAGTAGACAAACTCATGCCAGAGAAAGTCAAGAAGCGAAGAAAGGTCCAGGCGGATGATGGGGTAAGAACTGAGCCCCTGGAGCTAGTCCTCTCATGTCAGATGGCAGAAATGCATCTGACTTTGAAATGTGTACTCTTATGTGCCATGTACAATCCAAGCATGGGAGGAGACAGCCTGGAGTAGGAGACGTTTGCAGTCTGGCTACCATGGAAACAGAGAGCGGAGTGTATAGTCCACCCAGGAATGGAGAATAGGAGACAGTTGGCAAAGGCCACTTGGAGGTGTTTGATTCCAGGAACTGCATGAAGTGTGATTATTTCAGGAACATTAAGCAGGAGGCCAGAGTGAAGGGAAATGAAATTGAACTTTTAAGTTGGACCCAATCCAGAGGCTTTGTAAGCTGTAGGCAGGCTCTTCTCAAAATGACATGCCCCAGTAGTTAGCGTCCCCTGCAGGCATACTCAAGGGGCTTAGAATAGAGGAGACCGGTTGGGAGGATGTTTAAGCAAGTGATGGTGCAGGCTGGAACTACACTGACTTTAGGAAGCCAAGTCAGTGACCGACTGGATGGAGGTGGGCGTTGAGGGCAGGGAGTCAGGGTGATAGTGCACAGATTTAGGGTTCTTGCTACCAAGTAAACATGAAGTAAGTCTTTAAAAACTTTAAATCTTAGAAGACTGAAAGATGGAGGAGGAGACACAGTATTTTCTTGATTGACTATAGAGGAGCTGTGCTTTGATCTTTAGAATTTTCTTCCACTGGTTTTTAAAGCTCTCCACGAGCTCCCTTTGCAGCAACACCAGCCCCACAGCTGCTCCTTCACTCCCAATTTTGCAGGCCCAGCCCTTGTTCTTTCTGTGATGCGCTTTGATGTTGTTTTGTAAGATGAACATAAGATGAATTTGAACTCTGTTTGACAGTGAAAATTCTCCACTTTAAAGTTAACTGCAGTGAGTATTTCAGCCATGTATTGGCTCCTCTTTTAATTGTTTTACTTTTTTTTCTATAGTCTGATGCAGGCTGGGAAGAGTACTATGATTACATCTTTCCCGAAGATGCTGCCAACCAACCCAACCTCAAGCTCCTGGCCATGGCCAAACTCTGGAAGAAACAGCAACAGGAAAAGGAGGCTGCCGAGCAAGACCCAGATAAGGACATTGATGAGAGTGAATCCTGATGTTCTTGTTCATATTGAGAAGTGTTATTATTTTTATAAATTAATAGTTTGGAACTCTTGTGACTCCTGTAAGTTTTTGTATATTTCACCAGTAATGAATTGTTTGGAATATTTGATAGCTACTTTTTGAATAATTTTTAAAATGCCTTGGGCTTGGTGAGGGGTGGGTTGCAATTTTTGTAACTGCTGGATTTATCAGTCCAAACATTTTTTTGTTCACATCATGCATTTGAGAGATGGACCTGCAGACTTCTGAAAGTCTTTTTCTAGTTTTCAAGTTATGTTCTACAGTGACTTGTAAGGTATAGTTTTTTCATGCTTGTCTTCATAGAGATATTTCATGCACTCATCTGAAACCTGTAACTTTTTCCTGTCTTCAGAGTTACAGACTTGAGTTCCATTCCTAGCTCTGCCACTTAGTGATAACCTTTATTTTTCGTTTCTTTACTCATAAAATGAGCTTCTGCCAACTCATTTTGAAGATTAAATTAGAAAAGGAATATACCTGGCATATAGTGCTCAATTAAGTGTTCATTCCTAGTCACTTTCCTAAATCCCTTCCTTCTGTCCTTATAGAATTGAATGTGCTTGAATTTAACATCTAAACACCCCTAGCTTCTTAACAGTGGCCATTAAGTTATAGTTACTGTATTTCTGAACAAGATCTTTTTACCAAGAATGTTTTAGTCAGACTTCAGTTACACTGTAATCTGTTTGCCTAAACTGGTTGAACTCTGTAATGGCTTAAGGAAGCGTAAAACATGTGCTGTGAAAAAGTGTCCCTGCTTTAATAAGTTTGGGAAACCCTAGATTAAAAGTTAAGTTTTCTTAAATCTTTTTGTAGCTTAGATTCTCAGAGCCTTGTATATACTCCACACCTTATGCATTCCCAGTAGCGATGCTGGCATCTTCCCAACCTTACTGGATGAGGGAATCACGTCTACCTAGAATAACACATTTTCTAGTGTACTATTACAGAAATTAGCTACTGTAAAACCTGATGCATGTTATTTATCCTTGGTTTAGAACATGTAAGAAACACTAGGTAACCAACTGTAATTCTAAAAATGCAAAAGCAGAGATGATAACATATTTGCTGACACATTGCTTATATTTACTCAGGCAAAAAATATGTGCCTTAATTAACTGATCATATTATCTTTAATCTGGCCTGATTTCTCAAGCCTACTTTTTTGTTTTGTTCACTGCCTATTTGACTAGAACTGTATCTTCAAGAGTATTTTGTCACCAGTAAAGATTTATTACTTGCTTGATTTCATTGGGTAAACTTACTAAATTTGCAAAAATATTACCCAAAGGGATAAAAAAAAAGCTGGTCTGTATATTACTAAGTTTTATCTTGAAAATAAGCTAGTGTTTGAGGGCAGAAGATAGTACTGTCAGGATAAAAGACAAACCTGTGTTCAGCCTCTCTGCTTCAGTCACTGTACTGGTGTCACCCAGCTGCTGGGTATCAGATGGGTTCTGACTGTGGAGTCCTGAGGTCTGCCTACCTAGTGAGGAGGAACACTGGTGATTTTAATACCCTTTCCCTAAGTGCAGAGCCAAAGGGTAAAATGAAAGCAGGTCAAAATGCTAATATAAGTGACTAATCAGTCTTCCTACAATTCTCTGTCCTGTTTATGCTGCATAAATGCATAAGAGCAAAACTTGGTCATGTTCCCAATATCAGCTCATAATACCACTTTCTGGTTAGTGCCATGCATGAAGGAAAGTTACCTTCTCATGGGAGAACATAAAAGGTTCATTTCTCTTACCCTGACAAAAGATGTGGGGCTAACACTCCAAGAACAAGTATCTGGGAAGAATTTACTATGCAATAAGAAGGATGCCTAAGTATGCTGAGCAGGGACTGTTTTACATTTGCATTTTAAAAATGCTTTATAGGGAGGTCTAACAAGAGAAACCTCCATCCTAAATGATGGCCTTTCTCAATCCTGATTTAATTTTGTAAATGACCAGTAAGTTTCCAGAACACCTTCATTGAGTCAACAATGCATTTTATTATACATTTTATATTTATACATTTCATATATGCTTTTGAAGCTTCAATTAACAGAAAATATAAAATAAGAAATATATATACAGCAGTGGTTCTCAGGCACAGAATTTAGGAGGAGCCTGGAGCAAGTTTTTCCCTTAACCAAAAGTGAATATTAGGAACCAAAATAGTGAAATGTTTCCATCTGACCTAGCTGCCCTTTTCATTGAGTTTTACTACAGTGAACAGCTTTAATAGGTATGATATGGCTAACTGAGAATTCTCAAATTTACAACCTGTATTTTCTTGGAATCAGCAAGACCTAAATAATTACTTTTCTCCTAATAGAGCTCCAGGATCATCCAATGAAAATAATATTGTCCATAAAATATCTGGAGCATCAGCCTAAGAACCACTGCCCATGGTTATTCAATGTCTTCAGGCCTCACAGGATGAGGTAATGGTATGATGGATTTCTTCTCAGTGTCTCTGGAAAGTGCTTTCCTCATATCTGTTAGGAAACAAAATTTAATGTAAGTACCCAAATATCACATATATCAAATTTGAAGTGAACATTTAAGGTTCCCATAAAAGGTCTGTCCCCTAGACCCTGAGAGAAATGTATTTAAATAAGACTCCCAGTCACAAATACTCAGCTCTTCATACAAATGGTCTTTTGTGAGAATGAGTGAAATTAACACCCCTGTAACATAATAAAACAACTGATTGTAATTAATCAATGGTTAGTTAATATAAGCTAACCAGTGATAGGTTCATAATGGCAGGTTAATGGAGATTTAAATATGGGAGCTCAAATTTAAAATATTAAGTTCAACAAATATTCTTTTCAGTTTATTAAAGTAAGTATTTCCGTCTGTAGAATGACTGTAAATGTTCTGGTGGCTTCCTGGGGATACTGCCATGGAAGGGAGCTCACCGTAAGCGTCCTCATCAGGCTCCCCATTGCTGGCGGAGTAGTACTCTATGACTGTCCTGTACACGCTGTAGCCCAGCTGCTTGTACATGTTGACTGCAACCTGGTTAGATACTCTTACAAAGAGATCAACAAAGAATCCACCCTTTCTTTAATCACAAACAAACAAAAAAAAAGCCAGGAAAATGTTAGAATGTGAGAAATTGTAGAAAATACATATTTTTTTTTTTTAAATTTTTTTAATGTTTTATTTATTTCTAGGAGAGAGAGAGACAGTGTGAGCAGGGGAGGGTCAGAGAGAGAGGGAGTCACAGACTGAAACAGGCTCCAGGCTCCGAGCTGGCAGTCAGCACAGAGCCCGACGCGGGGCTCGAACCCACGAACTGCGAGATCATGACCTAAGCGAAAGTCGGACGCTTAACCGACTAAGCCACCCAGGCGCCCCAGAAAATACATATTTTTAAAAGCAATACTTGTTTTCAGTTTGCTGTTCTGAAGGGTAGTAACAGAACCTTGCAGCTGATTCCCTCATACCAATTTTTATTTCTAAGGATTTATGACAGTTGTTTTCAGGACCAAGAGTTAACTTTGTTTGCATACTAACATTTTAAACCCTAGATTTTCTTGAAATACAAACTTGAAAAGCATTTTTAAACCACAATTATCTTTAAATTACTGTGTATTTTATATCATAGTGATTCCCATGCTCATTTTATCAACGAGTGATACAATACTTTCACCCATATGTGCAAATTAAAGATACTGAATACAACAAGCACCCATGTGACCATGGCCCAAGTCCAAGTACAGGACACTGGCTGCCTGACACTGGCAGCCATGAAGCCCTCTGGTCGCTCCGTCAGTGACAGCCACCCCCTATTACCCAGAGGTCCTGACTCTTGTGCTCATTAGCTCCTGGGTTTTTGCTGTAGATTCACTACCTGCTATAGTCTTTCCTAGTTTGAACTTTATATAAATGTTATCATACTTTATATATTCTTTGGTGATTTGCCTCAATAATGTGCGAGTTAGCCTTGGTGTAGCTGGATCTTATTTATCTTCCCTTTGTTTAGCATTCCACTGTACAGATGGAGATACTACAGTCTGCCCATGGTCCCACAAGTAATCTGGTTTCTACTATTACAAACTATGCTGCTATCAGTATTTTCGTTGTATGTTTCATGGTACAGTATCTACGGTCTACAACTAGGGGTGTGATCATTGGCTCATAGGGGCATCTTCAGTTGCTTTAGTTAATGCCCATTTTCCAATCTGCTTATACTCCCAGAGGAGGGTAAAACTCCATTCCCACACTGCCAAGGCTTGGTTTATCAGACGCTTTTATTTTTGAAAATCTCTTAAGTATCACAGGGTAGTTTTAATTGGCATCTCTCATTACTAATGAGGCTAAATGTATTTTTGTAGGCCATTTGGACTTCTCATTCTGTACTATCCCTACTGGTCTTTCACACATTTTCTTTCTCTCCCCACCAGCTGTAGTTCTCTATGTATTCTGAATAGTTGACATCATATAAATGATTGCTGCAAAATTTTTCCCAATTTGAGGCTTGACTTGTTATTATCCTTATATATCTTTTGATGAACAAAGTTACTTCAACGAAGCTGCAATATGAACCTCTCCTTTACAGTTAGCCTTTTTATGGTTTAAGAAGTTCTTTTTACCCTGAAGTCACAGATGTCCTCTCCTATATTATCGTAAAACGGCTTGTGAGTTTTGCTTTTCAGATCTAGGTTTTCAAGAAATCTGGACTCAACTTGTGTGTTATAAGGTAATAATCTGGGGAAATGTTTTCCCATGTGGCTATCCAATTGTGCCACCATCTTAGTGAAGTGTACCCCTTCACTCCTGATCTGCAGTTGCCTCCTCTGAGGTATGTCAGAATCCATGTATTCCTGCATCTGTTTGTCTGTTCTGTTACACTAGTCTAAACAAGTACTCCAGCACTAACACACAGCTTACTCATTACAGCTTGATATCTGGAGGGGCAAACCTGCCAATTTTGTTATTGCTGTTGTTCAAGCAATCTGGTCTCCTTCCATTCCCTGTAACTTTCAGAATCAACGTGTCTCCCAAAAAGGACTTGAGATTTTTGATTGCTGTTCCATTGGCTCTGGATCAATACCAGTTTATTAGCCTTCCATGTTACTAGAGGTAGTTATCTCTCCGCTTAGGTCATCTTTACTGTCTCTTGGTAATGTGTTAGAAACTTCAGAGACGTCTTATGGAGCTTTTGTTGGATTCTTTCAAAGGGTTTAATGTATTTTGATGCCACTGTAGTTGGCATCTTTTCCTAAATTTTACTGTTTGTTTAGAAATGAAATTGAATTTCATACTGACTATCCAACAACTTTAACTTTTACTCTAAACACTTATTTGTAGCATCTTGTGGTTGTCTGTACAGTCTTAGATGTATAAGAGTTGTTTCCTCTCAGTTCTCATATCTCTTATTTTTCTTGCTCTACTGTGCTTGTCTAGGATTTCCAGTAAATTACTGAAAAGGGAGTGACTACAGGCATCCTTCCTTGTCTTGTCCCAAATTTCAAAGGGAAAGCATTCAATAGGTTTTTGATAGATACTCTTTTTTTAGGTTAAGAAAGTTCTCCCCTCTTATATTGCCAACAGTTTTTAATCAATTGGATTTTATCAAAGCGTTTTCTGCATTTACTGAGATAACAAATGTTCTCTTTTAATTAATATGATGCAAAAGATTTACAGATTTCATGTTAAAAACAACCGTCCTCTGATATATCATCCTTTTTTATGAATTACTGAATCCATTTTGCTAAGATTTTTCTGGGATTTTTGCATCTATAATGGGTGATTTTTTTTCAAAATTTTCTTCCTATTTATCAGGTTTTAAGATTATTCTAGTCTTTAAAAAAAGTTGAAAAATGTTCCTTTTTGTGTAAAAGTGAATTTATAGCTGTTATTTCTTAAATAGTTGGTAAAATTTGCCAGAGAAACCATAGCTTTCTGTAAAGATTTTTAGCTACTGATCATAATCTGTTATGGAAGAGGGTCTGCCTGCAACCTATTTTGGAACAGCTCTCAAACTAAAAAGTTTTTAAAATTTTGAAAGAGTGTTTAATACACACACACAAAAATAGCTGGCCTGTAAACCCTAAATATCTATCTGGCCCAGAGAAAGTGCTGGCTTTTTTTTTTTTATATCCTTAACCAGTTTCTGCCTAATCATTCTATCAGAAAGCATGTTTCAAATCTTTCATAATAATGATTTGCTCTCTTTTATTTCTGTTTTTTAATCAAAGTAAAAATGAGAAAATTGGATTTGTCACTGTGTACATAAAATTTGTAATTACTTCTTCCTGATACATGAAATCTTTTACCTATATACAATGACCCTTTTTTCTCTGTTAATTACTGAACTGTAATGTGACTATAGTTAATAATGAAGTATACCAACTGTCTTTGGTTAGAATTTTATGTGATAATTTTAAAAATTTCTTTCAATCTCCCTGTATCTTTAATCTTTACATATATTTCCTATAAATAGAATACAGTTCTGACAGTCTTTGTCTTTTTATTTTGTTTTACTGTTTTTTTTTTTTTAAATGTTTTATTTCTGAGAGAGAGAGAGAGAGACAGCGTGAGCAGGGGAGGGTCAGAGAGAGAGGGAGATACAGAATCTGAAAACAACCTCCAGGTTCTGAGCCAGCTGTCAGCACAGAGCCCTACGCGGGGCTTGAACCCACAAACTGTGAGATCATGACCTGAGCCGAAGTCAGACGCTTAACTAACTAAGCCACCCAGGCGCCCCTTGTTTTACTGTTGTAAGAAGACTTTAACATGAGGTTTTTCTTAATAAATTTTAAACGTACAATACGTTGTTTATTATAGGTAAATGTTGTACAGATTATTCCTTTTTAACTGCAATTTTATGCTTGCTGATTAGTACCCCCCCACCCCTGCTACCACCATTTCACTCTTTGATTCTCTGAATTTACCTGTATTAGAGATCTCATTCATATAAGTGGAATCACACAGCACTTGCCTTTCTGTGAATGGCTTCACTTAGCATAATGTCTTTGTCTTTTAACTGAAGTAATTAGTCCATTAACATTTAGTGTTGTATTTAGTGATTATATTTGGATTCATAGCTACCATCTTATTTCATGCTTTTTGTTTTACCACTTTAATCTCCTTTTTCTCTCCTTTTGCACTGATTTTTATCAATACATTTTTTGTCTGTGTCTTGGTTTGGAAATAGTTTCTGTTTTAATGTATTTAAAAATACAAGTATGTCTGTATGCAGCTTGGTACACACACAAATCTTAACTATTCCAAACTAATGAAGATTTAGAAACTGGAGAAAAAGGAATCTTGGTGGTTTTCTACTCTGAGAGACTCTACCCCATAAATAACATTAAATCATATGCATAGAGTGATAGCTAATTAGAACCCATTTCTCAACTCTTTGTCCACTATACAATAATGACAAATACTTTCTTTCAACAAGATAACACCATTAACAAATGTGTGCAAACTAAAAATTTTCTCCTCTTCCTTGTTCAGTCTAGTGAAAATTCTTTAAATTCTTAAGGACTACAATGGACTTATTTTTCAGCTAATGCTATCTATTCTCTCTCTTCCTGAATGAGCTCAAGCTCCTCTTGCCCCCATCTTGGCCCAGGGCATTCCTTTAAAACTTCCCTTTATAATGGGGTGCCTGGGTGGCTCAGTCAGCTAAGCGTCCAACTTTGGCTCAGGTCATGATCTCACGGTTCGTGGGCTTGAGCCCCACGTCGGGCTCTGTGCTGACAACTAGCTCAGAGCCTGCTTCCAATTCTGTGTCTGTCTCTCTCTGATCCCCCCCCCGCCCAAACCCCGCTCATGCTGCCTCTCTCTCAGAAATAAATAAAACATTAAAAAATTTTAAACTTCCCTTTATTAAGTCCATTAAGTGGAAAGCCTCAAGAGCCTTTCTCAGCAAATATTCCCTTTCCTGTATTTCCCTATATATTTCTAGGCATTTAGTGTAGAGAAAAAAGTAAATGGCAGCTTGACAACTGATTAAACTCATCCATATATTTTTTCTCTCTTTTACAATGGGAGCTGGCAGGAGTCTTTCAAAAAAAAAAAAAAAAAAAGCCCTAAGGCTGGCAGTCCCCAAACTGCTCTAAAGTGGCCTAAACTCTTAGAGGTGCTGTAGGATATATCAAATGTTTGGGGAAAACACAGACAAACCATTCATGCAAGCTAAACTACTGGTTTGATATAACTCACAATTGCATCATTACATGGTGTTACATTCCTTTTAATGATAAAGTACTTTATGAAGCCAGGTTTTAGCAGTTCCTATGATTAAAAGAGCCCAATACAAGAAAATCAGTATGAAAGAAGAATGCAGGTGGTTGTGTTGAATCGGTTTCCAAGGTATGAGAAGTCCTGCAATACTCAAAAGACCGTAGATAACTACAGTTATTTAACAATGAAATAAATATATTTTTTCTTTAAATTTGTTTATGTTTTCCAAATAGCTATTAGGTTGTTAGGCCATAAATACCTACTAGGCAGTTAGGACGTAACTGCTTACAGCTAAACTGGAGGATTTTTTGGCTTTCGAGGCACTGTGAAGAAAATCACTAAGATGCCAAGAGTGATGTTAACGTAATTTGGGAATATATGCCACAGTGGCAAGAACACTCCAAAAAATCTTGAGGGCTAGTCTTTGCACCAATTGCCCAGCATATAAGCCTATGGTCGGTCACTCACTTTGCCTGAATCTTTCTCAATGGCAGAATAGGACAGTACTACTACTATGAATATATGAGTATTTGACTACTGGAAACTGAAAATGAAAATCCTGTAAACTGTAAAGCACAATATTCACCCTGACTGGAAAAAATAAGTGTTCACTATGAGAAAACCAAATGGGGCTCATAAATTATTACTTGAAAAGCAGGATCTCACCGTTCTGAAATCTCCTCTAATAACTCCATAAGTTTAGCAGCCAAACCAAGGCGTCGAAATTCTGGGGCGACAGAGAGAGCTGTGACATGTCCATGCCATTCTTCCCTAGCTACAGAGCCTTCTGCTTTACCCATAACTGCAAACCAAAGATTGCATTCAGTAATTAAACACGTGGATTTACACAAAAATACAGAGTGACTATTGGTACATTATTATAAAGGAAACTAATGACAAAGTTTTAGTTTTTAGGTAACACTTAAAGTCACCTAGCTAGTGTTTATTGGTGCTTTTATCTGAATCTCATTTATAAATGTAATGTTGAATCTAGTTGTAAAATGAGAATTAGAAAAAGGTTTAAAAGAAAACACTAAAAACACAACTAATTGAACACAGAACCAGAGTATGTATTTTTAAGGTGTACACCAACAGATAATCGACAGCTCAAATTTTGACTAGTAATGGTACTAACCCAATAAAGGTGCTACCATCCCCATATTATGTACCAAACAAACCACGCAGAAATGTAACATAAACAGAAAGATCTAAAGAGCCTGAGACCATGTCTGTCTGGTTCACTGCTATATCCCCTGGAGCCTATCTAGCACAATGCCTCAAACATAGAAGCCATCAGCAAGCTGTCAGAGGGTTGAAAAATAAAATTACAAGCATCATAATTATACTTCCAATTCTGCAATCCATCTAAGTTGAAAGCTATATTAAAATCTCAACTTCCTACCTAAAAATGTTCTAGTGGCTGGTATTATACTTACTATAACCCATTAACTCTCCACCAGGTGCCTCTGCAACAATGAAATACTCTGGCCAGTGGGCGAGGTACTGTAAATAAAAAGGAATCCCATACTAGAGTCTTGTTAAGGAATGTAGAAAGTAACTGATAGTAAAAAGTTCTTCATAAAAGGAATATTGTAAAGAAAGTGTCCTTTAAAAAGTACATTGTTACTTTATCCCTAGCTCTATATATGTATAATTTTTATAACCATGTCAGTACATAAAATATTTAGGTTAGCATTAATAACTCATAATAAAATTGACTGAATATATAACTTCAAATGTGAATGGAGACTACACCATCTAGTACACAGCAGAGAACCTGGACTCCAAGTTCTTCTGTGTCCATACTGATCAGACTGTATCTAAATCTCTGCACAGCACTTACATCACCTGGTATTTGTTACTATCTCTCTCCTTTTCAAATATGAATGTCATGTTCATTCCATCCCTGGTGCTTGGCACAAAGTAGATGCTCAATACATTTACTTTTCCATAACTGCACTAGAAAATTAAGGACTAGTTCCTACTTTAGCTTCAGTTGTGTGACTATGAAAATAACTTTAAAAGTTAATTATTTCTCGGGGTGCCTGGGTGGCTCAATCGGTTAAGCGTCCGACTTCAGCTCAGGTCATGATCTTGCGGTTTGTGAGTTTAAGCCCTGCACCAGGCTCTGTGCTGACAGCTCAGAGCCTGGAGCCTGCTTCAGATTCTGTGTCTCCCTCTCTCTGCCCCTCCCATGCTCATGCTCTGTCTCTGTCAATAATAAATAAACGTTAAAAATGTTTTAAGGGGCACCTGGGTGGCTTAGTTGATTAAGTGTCCAACTTTCACTTAGGTCATGATCTCGCGGTTTGTGGGTTCGAGCCCCGCATCAGGCTCTGTGCTGACTGCCAGCTCAGAGCCTGGAGCCTGTTTCAGTCTGTGACTCCCTCTCTCTCTGACCCTCCCCTGCTCATGCTGTCTCTCTCTCTCTCTCTCTCTCTCTCCTAGAAATAAAATAAATAAATAAAGTGGCCCCTCAGCTTTCTCTAAAAAAAAAAAAGTTTTAAAAAGTAAAATATAAAAGTTAATTACTTCAAGAGTCAACTTAACAATTACCCTGTAGTATCTCCCCTCCACTGATTCAAATTCTCTGTTTCTGGTACTACAAATAAAAGCTGACCTAAGAGTGAATGCCTGAAGAATTTGCTCATTACATAACTCTTCAACCCTGGCATCCTTACTGACATGTGCTCATTCTTATATTTCTTCTTAGCGTAAGCTTGCTGATGCAATTCTCCGAGGGGCCACCACAAATCACACATTTTTAAAATCCGTTCGGTAGTATATTCTTCAAACTCTTCTCTGAAGGACAGCTGTTATTTTCAGCACTCTTGTAACACAACCCATAACACAGCAGGCCAGCAAGTCTTCTTGCCATGCTACCACTGACATACCATAACTGCCTCTCCTCCAGCTAAGGGAGGAGCCCAGATGCTGGTTCACCAATTATGAAGACCTGGCACATTACTTTCAGACATGGCCTCACCTAGATTATAGGACTTTTACTGTAAATTTTAAGTGTAACTAGACACATACCATATAAGTTAATTCACATCCTAATACTTTACCTTACTATACAGTGGAAATTTTTCTGTCATTCAAAATTCTTTTTTTTTTTTTAACATGGAGAGGGTCTTTATTTTTTTTTTAAGTTTATTTATTTATTTTGAGAGAAAGTGCACGGAGGGGAGGAGCAGAGAAAGTGGGAAAGAGAGAATCCCAAGCAGGCTCCGCATTGCATGCAGTCTGACACAGGGCTCAATCTCCTGAACAGTGAAATCCTAACCTGAGCAGAAATCCAGAGTCAAACACTTCCCTGACTGAGCCACCCAGGCACACCTGGAGGGGTCCTTAAAAGGTCCTAATTTTTGAAATAAAACTGAAAATCCTGATATTTTTGCTTTTTCACTCAACTTTGTTTCTGATATGTAGCTTTATTGTCGCCTATACCTATAGTTAATTTTTAAAACTGTAGAGCACTCCATTGTGTGAACAATATAACATCCTATCTCTTGGCAGAGGACATCTGGGTTATTTTCAGTTTCTCAAAAATCTTTTCAAATTTTTAATATAATTCTGCAATAAATATTTTTGTAATGACATAACTCAGGGTTTAACCAACATTTTCCATCACGGAACAGAGAGTTAAATATTCAAGGCTGTATGGACCATATGTTCTCTGTTGCTTCTACTCAAACTGTGAAAGCCATGGACAAAGCTACAGACAGGTTGCAAATTATGCAGCATGGCTGTGTCCAATAAAACTTTATTTACAAAAATAAAAATAGGCAGGGGACCAAATCTGGCCAATGCACCTTAGTTTGCCAATCCCTGACATAACGGACTCTACTTATTGTTTTCAACTTCTGGGAAATGGATTACTATACGTATTACACTGCCAAAGTGCCTTCCAGAAAGACTGTAGCAGTTTATACTGTCACTAGCAATTTATGAAAATGTTCCTCTTATCCTCATCAGCATTGAGTTTTCTCATTTTTTAAAATCCTTGATAATTTGATAGATAAAACATGGCATTTGAGGCACCTGGGTGACTCAGATGGTTGAGCGTCCGACTTTGGCTCAGGGCATGATCTCACAGTTTGAGTTCCAGCCCCACATCAGGCTTGCTGCTGTCAGTGCAAAGCCCACTCTTCAGATCCTCTGTCCCACCTTGGTCTGTGCCCCTTATCTCCTGTGTGCTCTCTCTCTCTCTCAAAAATGAATAAACATTAAAAAAAAAAAAAAAAAGACTGAGATTTAAAAAACAAAATAAAACATGGCATCTCATTTTGGTTTTAATTTGCATGTCTTTTGACTGGTGAGACTGAACTGTGCCCTCTTTTGTTAAATTATGAGTTAATATACCCTACAGTGGACATGGAGTAAAAGCCAGAAATCCAACTTTGTTTCAAGCCACTGAGAATGTGGGGTTTTTCTGCTAATGCGACATAACCCAGAGCACCGCAACTTCACACAATTGCCCATTCTTCTATTGGGGAACATGGTAGATATTGTTAATTATTACTCTAAATCCTTTCTTTGCTTTAGTCACAAGCACTCATTTAAAGCTGGGCTCATTCCCAGACTGGTATAGCTAGTAAGTGTGTCATGAAGCAAGTTCTAGTCAAGGGGATGCAGAAGTCCTGTGCAGTTACCTCCCAAAGGTATTCGTCACTCTCACCTTCCCCTCTGGTTACCCTCCTGCCAGGAACATGGACGTGATGCCATTCGCTCCAGCAGCTGAGACAGGAATGCCAAGGCCACCTTGGGAGTGGTAACAGTAGTGCACAGCCGGGTCACTGGTGACTTCACAAAACCACCACAGACCACTTGTCACCTCCAGACTTCATTCACATCAGAGAGTAATAACCCATCTTGCTGAAGTCACTGCTTCCTGCTGCGTGGAGCCATACTTACTATCTACGGGCAAGGCAGGCAGGGTTGCTGCACTGCTATAGATTTATGACGTCGTTATATTAGCAGCTGGTCAGGCGGATTTAAGACAACTCTCGTTCCCCGTTCGTTTGGTTTTTTAAGTGCTTTCAAAACTGCTTGTTTCCTGGACTACAAGCTTGAAGTTCTTTTGTACCCAAATCTATTTTTCCCGTTGTTCCTCCATGTTCCTTACTCCTAATAGGCCTTCATTTAACTTTTTTTAAAGAAAAGGATACAGTTTCTGTAAGTGGATCCAAGTTACTGAAAGAAACAAAAGAAATGTTAATAGTAAGCAATGTTGACAAAACCAGTTTAAATAAGCCACTGAAACTGAAAACATGCACAAGGAAAACAAAACATGCCAAATCCACAACTTTAAAATCAGATTTAGGGGTAAGGATGATGTAAGCGGTTACCTAAAGACCAAACTGAGCCATCACAGCCACTATAAAGATACCTACACATTTTCATTTAACTGTTTTCCTTAAAATTACTTTATATTTAATACATCTGATCAAAAAATAAATCGTTAATGGAACTGGAGCCCAACAAGACTAGCATAATGGATCACAACACTCCTAAATCAGCAGTTCTTAAAACACACCTATGGTCTGTCTACAAAGAGCTCTGCCCCTCACTTTCCTATTCAGTAAACGGAACCAGTATTTTGCCAGGCTCAAAACCAGCCACCTGCAAATTTACCTCTCGTATACCCAGTCAGATTCTTTCCTGGGCCCCTTACCAATGCACTTCTCTAGGCCAGCAGTTCTCAAGCTTTTTGGTTTCAGAATCCATGGACACTCAAAAGTTAATGAGGACCCCAAAGGCCCAAAGGACTTCTGTGTATGTGGATTATATCTATTCATATTTAAATTTTTAAATATTCATTTTAAAATAATAAATCAATTACATGTTAATAAAATCTTTTTTTTTTTTTTTAACCAAAAAGTTACTCTACTTCAAGAACAAAAGTTTAGATGCGCCTAGGTGGCTTAGTTGGTTAAGTATCTGACTCCAGTCAGGTCATGATCTCGTGGTTTGGGAGTTTGAGCCCCACGTCAGACTCTGTGCTGGGAGCCTGGAGGCTGCTTTGGATTCTGTGTCTCCCTCTCTCTCTGCCCCTCCCCCATTCATGCTGTCTCTTTCTCTCAAAAATAAACATTAGAAAAAAGTTTTTTTTTAAGCACAAAATTAGCAACAAGAACGGCATGGTTTTAACAATTTTACAGATCTTAATGTCTGGCATAAGAGAAGACAGCTGGATTCTCACATCTGCGTCTGTAATGCTTGCTACTGCAAGTCACACAACTGGAAGCTCCACCGTGCACTTGTGAGAGAATGAAAAAGGCAAAAAACCCTTCTTGGTGCTATCCTGAAAACCACTCTGACCTTGCAGAAGCTTGAAGAGCCCCAGCCACAGCTGATCACTACGCCACAGTGTGGGAATACACTCTCCCACACCTCTCAACGACTACTTTATAAGCCTCTCATCCTGCCTCAACTGTCCAAGGCCACCCTTCTCAATCTCGGCTGCTTCCTGAGTCACACAGAGAATATACAACCGCAGGAAGCAAGCTTCACCAAGACCCCACCACCAAAGCCACCCACCCACACCCACAAGTATCTGTGCCCCTGTCTACATGCTGTGCTGCGACCACGCCTGGAGCTCTGGGGAGCAGATCCTCCCCTCACTGCCCAGCCTCCTGCTCCCACAGTTCTCCTCTCCTGGGGTAAACAAACATACACACAGGCTGCACACTTCGCCATCAGCAACTCTTTTCATGGTTCCCCACTCCCTCCACCTGAAATGCTCTCCTCGCTCCGCTTCTCAGACCCACTGTCACCTTCTCCTCCCACCTCCTGGGATACTAGGTCTCCTTCAACACCTGATATCTAGGGACCGTCCTGGAGCCTCTTTTTTCCTCTCCACACTCATTCCACCACTGATGTCAACTAGCCTCTCAATTTTTGTTTTCTGCTTAATGTATATTTATTTAAGTAACCCCTACACCCAGCATGGGGCTTGAACTCACAACCCCAACATCAAGAGTCACAGGCTCTTCCCACTGAGCCAGTCAGGCATCTCTAGCCTACTGGTTTTAATACCATCTACATAAAGTTGGGCCCCCAAATTTCTATGTTTAGCCCAGACTTCCCCACCTAGGTATCTCAATACACTTAGCAGAGGAGCCCAACTCCCAGGAGAGCCTCTCCAAGCTCCAGCCCTGTGACCCTGACCTCACCTCCTTAAGCACTCTGCTCCAGCCGCACTGGCTGCCTCCTACAGTCAGAAACAGGTACCCGGGTGCTTACTACTCTCTCTGCCTAGAAGTTCTCCTGCCCCCAATATCCTCAGGACTCACTCCCTCATCTCCCCCAGGTCTTCAGGCAGGGCCACCTTTCCCTACACACTACTACCTAAAATTGAATCCCCACTCACTCCCTATTTCCCTTCCCTGTTTTCATGTTTTTCTTTATACTGAATACTAAGTTCTACATGTTGTACTTTCTTTTTTCCCCCTCAAAAATGTAAATTCCATAAATATAACATTTTTTTGCTTTGTTCATAGCTGTGTCTCTAGTACTGATGCACATCAGGCATGAAAACATTTATCCAAAAATAAGTAAAACACTTGTTAAATTAACTGCAGTGTTTCTAACCTTCACTTCCTACTGCTTCACCCTCATCCAGTGATTCTCCGTGTTCTCTGACAGTGCTCTAATCCAGGTGTGAAGCTGGAGGAAACAGGAAGAGCTCCCAATGGCATATTCTGAAGAGGCCTTCACAAGCTAGACAATTCTCTGAAATCTTAACTTTTATTATAAGTATTCATGCTTATTTTTTCTTCTTGATTCATTTTCATATAAAAGGGTTGAGCCTTCCTAGATCCACAGTTAAAACAAGGTTTTGCCCTATATACTCTTGAAGCTTCAAGGCACATGGTCCCCTCCCAGGCTGCACCTCCCAAACCCAAACCTCTGTCAAGTCACCATGTCTGGGCCCTCGCCAAGACATCCTAAGTGGCCTACCTGCCAGCTATACCTCCTCTAATCACCTCATGTTCCACACAGCGCTGTGGTGAAGAGCTGGGGTGCCAGAGAACTGGTCCTTAAACAGCTGAGGATGTGCATTTCCAAAGGGTTCTCTGGCGGTCAGGGACCACTCTGAAAGAACCACTGTTCTACAGCCAATCTCTTGGATTAGATCCTTTGCTTCACCCACCAAAGGGCTCTACCATCTGGGGCAACTCCCACCACAGGCTCTACCATCCACAGGGCTCTACCATCTGGGGCAACTGATTTGAACTCTCAGTACCTTAGCTGACTCCTACAAAAAGTGGGGATACTGAGATCGCCATCTTCAGAGAACTGTGAGAACTGCATGGGTTATTACAAGTGCCAGTGCCCATCAGGCACAGTAGGAGCTCAAAACAAGCCACCTAAATTACACTGCTTTGACTGGGAGAGGCTTAGAAAATTCTTCCCAAGTTTGAACGCTTCAGCCACAGAACAGAAGACCAGTTTCACTAGTCCTGTGACGGCTCAGCTGGAGAAACCCACCACCACAGTCACACTTGTCTCCAGTCGTCTGGCCCCACGCCAAGCTTTCTCACCTTCACACCTGCATCCTTCTCCAGAACTTCCTCATCAATGCCAACATTTTATCCATCCTTCAAGGCTCACTCCCACTCCGAAAGGTTTCTAGCCAACTCCTCTCAACTTCTTTCCTTCTCGACACTTGAATCTGACCCACCCAGCTGTCTTTAAAGTGGGTCTAGGGACGCCTGGGTGGCTCAGTTGGTTAAGCATCTGACTTCGGCTCAGGTCATGATCTCACTGCTCGTAGGTTCGAGCCTCGCCTCGGACTCTGTGCTGACAGCTAGCTCAGAGGCTGGAGCCTGCTCCAGATTCTGTGTCTCCCTCTCTCTGACCCTCCCCTGCTCATGATGTCTCTATCTCTCTCTCAAAGATAAATAAAACATTAAAAAAAAAAAAATAAAGTGGGTCTAGGACTGGTAGGTGGGTGGGTGGACAGCCAGATATGTGAAAAAGTCAACATAACAAAATGTTAACTGTAGAATCCAGCTGAATCTCTGTGAACTTTTTAAATGTTCAGAAACTTCCCCAACAAAATCTTTTCTTAGAAAAAAGTAAAAGTGCCTTCAAGTCACAGGTCCTGACTTCACTCGGACTAAAACAAAGCAGACACGGTGGAGCCTCCACCAGCATCCGCCCAATGCGCCGAATCCTCACAACACAAAAGTTTTCCAGGCTCCATGCGCCGCTTCAATAACAAAAGACACAAAAACAACCCGGACGGAGAAAGGAACGGCGGCGGTGGGTGCCACCATCACAAGGCTTCCCTCGGATACAGACTGACCATCACCAGGCTGGCTGCACAACGTCCATAATTCCCATAAAACTTAGCTGTTGCCCTCGCAACGCCCTCCGCGGCCAGTGTTCTGTGCTGTCCGCTGCACAGAAGGACGAAGCCGAGTCGGAGGCCGAACGCCGGCCGCAGGCGGCGGAACCAGAGCTGCGCCCAGGCCGCTCCCCCACCTCCGACCACTCGCCCCGGTGCGTCGGAACGGCCATCGCTACAGGATGAGCGCGCGCTGCCCCGGCCCCAACGAGCGCGCAGGGATGTGGGATGAAGTCTCAGTGTCTCCGCCAAGGTCAGCAGACAGCTCCGCACGTCTGTCCCCGCCCCGGCTCTGACCCCGCGGCTCCTAAGGAGGCGGCAATGGCGGCCAAGGGGAGTGGCTCCCGAGGGCCGTGGGCGAGGGGGAATGCAGCCACCAGCGTCGGGCCTGGGGGCCTCACTCACATGTTGTTGAAGCGGAACAGGTCGTCGCACGTGAAAGCCCGGAGCGTGGTCATCGTGCTGCCGCCGCCGCTGCCTCCGAGGCCGGCTTGCCGCGGCCCGCGCCCGCCCCGCCGGATGTCGTTCTGCGCAGGGTCACCGCGGGGCGGGGCAGGGAACTGCTTCCGAGCCACGAGTTGCTCGGCAACCAAAGCAGCAGCACGGCTCCCTCTGGCGGCCGGCATCTGGAATTGCAGGATCCTTCTTGTAAAGTCGCCTGGTTCTTACCCTTCAGAATCTCAAAACTACTCCCGTGGGAGAGACTGGAGCAAATAGGTAGTGTGATCTCCTACGACGGAGATGAAAAGCTGACCGAGGTTAGGAAACCACCAACGAAAAGAAGGGTTTAGGACCACTTGGATTCCCGGTAATAAATGAGAAAGGAAGGGGAGCCGAGTGGGAGAATTCATGGTTCAGCGCTGCCTGTCCCGGTAATGTGTAATCCCAAATCTACTACCACATTTACGACCATAAAGAGAAAGGTGAAATGAATTGTAGCAGTATATGTTATTTTACCCAGCATATAAAAAATATTATCATTTTACATGTAATCAATAAAAATTTAATGAAATGTTTTACTTTTTTGTTGTGTTGGACTAAGTCTTTGAAATCAGGTGTGTATTTTTGCAGTATATTTCAGTCCAGGAGCTGAACTGCCATCGGAAATACTTGTTCTGTGTTTAGATTTCTTCAAATGTACACATAAAACGTATGGTTAAAAAGTAGATTTGCATACTCAAACTGTTCCAATCATACTAAGTATTTCAAAAGGAATAACCAGTTTTCAAATTTAAATTTACAATAAAGTCAAATGAAGTTAAACATTCCATTCTTCAGTCACAGAAGCCACATTTCTAGCATTCAGTTGGCCCATAGGTAGTGACTGCCACCATGTTGGACAGTGAGGGTCCAAAGGCTAAGAAATGTCCTGCCTGCTTTTGCAGGTTCTCACCCCTCTCCCCTTTGTTAAGCAATTACTGAGTTAGTCTTGAGGGACATATTGCAGAGGACAAACCTACCCACACCACTCCTTAAGTCTAGATTCCAGGGTCCTCACGTCTAATTGCCCTGGAGCCCAAGTTGCTCCACAGGGCTGCTCAGCAGCCCACTGCCCAGACTTGTGGGCCAGGCAGGAAAGAGGAGAGCAGATGGCTGAGGAGGTAGGTAGGCCCATAAGAATGATCTCCTGGGGCACCTGGGTGGCTCAGTCCCTTAACAGTGTCAGACTCTCGGTTTCCACTCAGGGCCTGATCTCACCATCTGTGAGGCATAGTCCCACATGGAGCCTGCTTGTGATTGTCTCTCTCCCTCTCTCTCTGCCCCTACCCTCTTCACACATAAACACTCTCAAAATAAATTAATTAATTAAAAAAAAAAAAAAAAGAAAAGAAAGAAAGAAAAAGAATGGTTTCCTAAGGTACAAACTCATCTCCAGGCATTTTTTCCAAAAACCTCAACAATACAGGTGAGTGTGAACATGCATGTAATAGTCCCTGGAGCATGCAAACTCATGTCCACAGGTTCTATAAATGCACTTAGGAGGGCAGAATATGAGCTCATGAGCTCAGCGACTGCCTACCGGGTGTTTAAACAGGGACACATATTTTAGGCAATTTCCTAGCAGGAAAACATAACATGCCACTTGAAATGAATGTTAAAGTATCATTTTTAAGAAAGGTAAAATTATGGTGTTCATATAAATGTGAAGTGAGCACATGACAAAGATTTTAATTCAGTAATTAATGAGAGAATCAGTAAGTTGTTAAAACCACTTCAAAGAAGAATTTAAAGTGCACAAGGCAATCAGAGATGTTGAAATGTATTTACACACAGATGTAAAGCTGTTGATATCCACAGAATGGTAGTCTATTGCATCTTCTGGGCATGCACAATGCACTTCTGTTTCTACACACTAGAGTAATTTTCTTTATCAATTTTCTGCAGCTTACAGAGTTAATCTGGAAGGGTATACTGAACACCTAATCATCTTGTGTGTATGTGTGTGTGTGTGATTTAACACTGCATTAAAACTGAAGAGATGACAGAACACTATAGAAATATGGGTACTTAAAAGTTTCCTTTAAAGCTGAAGACTTTGTAAACATTGTTACTCCATTGTTTTCTGGTGTTTAAAGTTTCTGGGGGAAAAGAGTAGGCCAGCATGATTTTTGCTTTCCCTTTTGTGGGTGACTTAGTTTGTGTTGGAGTGTCATTAGTCATAACACTTCCAGAAATAAAACATTCTTAAAGGCACATACGTGTGAAACCTAGTGAATCTCTCCAGTGCATCTTCTAGTACATTTCAGCAGTTTAAACACTGAAATTCACACACACACACACACACACACACAAAATCAAAGCTGGACCACTCCCACATAGCCAGTGGGAATGTAAAACGGTACAGCCTCTCTGGAAAACAGTTTGGTGGTTTCCTTAAAACCTACATATGCAACTATCATTTAACCCAGCAATTGCACTCCTGGGTATTTATCCCAGAGAAATGAAAACTTATATTCACATAAATCCTGTTTACAAATGTTTAAGTCAGAGTCAAAATTTTGTGTGCTGTGTGATTCCATTTATGTGACATTCTGGAAAAGGCAGAATTATAGAAACAGAAAACAAATCAGTGGTTGCCAGGGACTCAGTTTGCGGCTAGCAGAAGAGAATTATGGGAGAGTTTTACAGGACTGAGTGTTTCTGTCAAAACTCATAGAACATTTACTAAAGAGAGTGAAATTTTACTGTAAGTTATATATTAATAAACATGACTTTAAAAAATAAAATAAACAATTTTTACATTATTGTCCCCGCCATTTCAATAAAAAGCATGAACTATGTTAAACCCTATCAAGTCTTACAGTTTTGGGGAGCTTCTAGGAAACACTGTTATTGATTTCTATTTCAATTTTATTTTTAACGTGCAGGAAAAACACGGTTTCTGTCCCAGCTGCACATTTTCCCCACGTTAAAGATGACTCATAGAACTTTTTATTTGTCATTTTACATTGTGTAATTCCTTTTACTGCTTAGTTGGAAAAAACTACAAGCTTTTACCACATTTTATCACAAAACATTTTCCTGCTCATTGAGACAAAACACCATGTGCTCTTCTGTAAACAGTGCTGACCCAGGTTCGCATCTACCATGGCAGAATTCCACATTTAAACAAGCAAACAGCTTGGTGTTTCATCTGTTGTTGCTCCATTTTTTCCTTCAGATCATGTGGAAAGGACAAAAAGCACAGTAAATATATATATATTTTGACAAATCCTAGGCAATGTGCTTGACAATAAAAGAACTTGGGTGGGTGGTTGCCTTCAGATAGCAGATTTATCTTTTATAAAATAATAACTGAGCAGGATAGATGCATTGACTCTGATCATCAGCATAATAATCTATGTCCAGTTTTGCTAACAGGGTTTTACAGTTGTGTTCACCTTTCATAAGAGGAGCTGACTGCAGGTTTCCATTAAACATGCATGACACACTGCATATATCTACTCCTTACCAATATGTCACTAATAGGAGAATTTTTAAAAAATTTTGTCAAGGTATAGACCCATAGGAACAAAGAGACTGAAGGAAAAGAAAATAGCCAGCAAGAACTGGCAACAAAATTATGGATGCTAATAAACTAATTAAGCAGATAGAATGAAGCCAAAAGGTCAGTAACTGGAGGAGGAAAGGCCAAGAGGCAAGGCGATGAATTCCTGTGGCAGAATCTGGGGAAGCTTGGGGAAGCAGGCAAGTACGAGAAAGGGAGAAGAGGAGACCCTTACCCCCTGGAGAGGCACGGGAAGTTGTGTGCTGAGTACAGAACACTAGCGAGAAGGGTAAGGGTAAAACACCCTAGTGACAGCGAGGACTAAGTGAAAGCTGGCCTCTGGAATGATGACCTCCTGCAAACCCTCTGCCTGCTTTGTTCCCTGAATGCTGGGAGCTAGATTGACCCCAGCCCAACAGCTCCAAGTCGGACATTAGGGAATTTTTTGTAGGGAAACTGCCTGACTCAAGAGAGAAGCCCCACAGATATTAACATTTTTTCAGCCCTCTGACAAAAGGAACAGACTGCTACGTAGTTACTCTAAGAGCCACCAGTTCATAAACTCTGCCCCATATCCATGATTTCCAACAAGTTGTGGTGCTTTACGTTTAATTATGAATAGTTAAAAGTCACAGAGCATTTGAGGAGAGCCTCTAACCCAAAAGACAGAGATCAAAATAGTTAAATAAAAATAAAACTGGATGAATAGAAAAACACTTAACCAGATCTCCTTCTAATATCCACAGAGAGGTAAGAAGATACTGCATCCATGGAAAGAAATAGCAAACTGTTATAAAAATTACATTCAGAGAAAAAAAATTCTGGGAAATTGTAAATATATTATTATAAATTTAAAAAATCAATAATTGTGGGGATGAGCACTGGGTGTTATATGGAAACCAACGTGACAATAAGCTATTAAAAAATAAAGTGTTAAAAGAAAAAAAATCAATAATTGAAGCAATGTCCCCCAAAGTATAAGAAATAAAGACAAACAGACATAAAGTAGAGATTAAAGAGAAAGAGAGAGAGAAAGAGAGAGAGAGGCAGCTCAATTCATTAGGTCCAATATCCAAAAAATAGAAATTCAAGAAAAAGAAAATGAGAGGAAGAAGTTATCATTTTAACAATATAAGAAATGTCTTCAGAATTTAAAAATATGAGTTTCCAGAGTGAAAGAGACCATGGAGTCCACATCAAGGCACATCACTGACATTTCCAAACAGTAAGGATAAAGAGAAGATTCTAAAAGCTTCTAAAATGATCTGGAAAATGGAAGGAAGGTGTATTAGCTCTCTTTCGATAATCAGCGAACCACTCAAACTTAGTGACTTAATAATAATTTGTGGGTTGGTTGGGTAATTATTCTGGTCTGAACCGGATGCATGGCCTTAGACTGCCTCACTCACATGTCTGGGACTTCCTGGAAAGGTGGTCTCTTGTCTTCCAGGAAAGTAGTCTGGATTTGTTCACAAGGGTGATGAGAGGATTCTCAGTAGCAAGAGAGGACCAGCTCAATGCACTTTTCAAACATTTACTTGCCTAGTGTTTGCTA